AGATCTGAAGAAGTTTGGCTGGGATACTACTTTAAAACATTTTTTTGTGGCAACATATTTTATGGAAAACATAAGCACAGGGCATATTCACTTTTGCAGAATCTTACTCTCCTCCTCATACAAATCCCAACTCATTGTGCAGGTGCTCAGCTCATGACATTCGTTATGAGTGACAGTAGGCAGACTAGTGAAATTATGTGCACTTGTGTCAGAACTGCAACACACACAATCACTGAAGGGCAGAGTTAAGGAGAAAGATTTAAGGGTAATCAGAAAGCGGTGGTTCTCCAGACCCAAAAGCAGCTGGACGAGACATCAGCAGCTACAAATAGGCACAGAAAGGCTACTGGTCCTTAGTATGGTCACACAAGGGCACACATTCCTAAAAAAAATATTAGTTTTATCATATCACCAGGATCATCAGAGTAAAATCATGCCCATTTGAAAGTAGCAAGAATTTTTAACTCCTGATGTTCTTAACCGAGACATTTCTTAAATTCTTTCTGAAGTCTTACTTTTGCCCCAAACCTTAAAACATTTCAATGATTCCCGCATGTTCCAATTCTCTTGTCTTTTAGGAGGACAGAGAAAAAGTGTATAGATCTTGGATTTCTGCAAAAAGAGACAGGAAAGTTCAGGAATCAAAACACAATGTGCAATTCCATTGCATCCTTTTAAATGGCTATACAAAATGAGTGCTTTCAACAGGCAAAAAAAGCTTGGGCTTTGCACATAAATTATACAGTAGCTATATTAAGAATTGTTGCTAGTGATAGATAAATCTAAAAAAAAAAATGTTGTCCTGCACTAGATGGGGTGCTCAGACACTGTTAACCACACGCAGCTGACAAATGCGCATACATGCATGCTTATATCTGTAAACAGACAGATACCAAGGACTGAGGCACAGGAAGTTCCGTCTGAACATGAGGAAGAACTTCTTCCCTCTGAGGGTGACGGAGCACTGGAACAGGCTGCCCAGGGAGGTGGTGGAGTCTCCTTCTCTGGAGATATTCAAGACCCGCCTGGACAAGGTCCTGTGCCGCCTGCTGTAGGTGACCCTGCTTCACCAGGAGGGTTGGACTAGATGACCCACAGAGGTCCCTTCCAACCCCTACTATTCTGTGATTCTGTGTGATTCTGTGACAGCCTGTGCCTTGCTGTACCGACTCTACTGCCAGGACAAAGGGTAAAGCAACAACCAGCTGCTTAGTGAGACAGAAACTGCATTTCTTTAGATTAAATTAGGTGAGGCTCTATGCAAAGAGGCTTTGATATTCTCCATGATGGTTCGCACAGATGCATATGGACCACAGAGAATGAGGTGTCTCAGCCACATGGAAATGGCTCTCCTGAGCGTGACCCAGTCCAAAGAGCTAAATGCAAACCAGCATTTGATACCATCGCCATCTCCTAAGTTTGAAAGCAGCTGGAAAAGGGTGTTTATGCTCTGGCCAAATATGCCTTAAAGTTTTGCATGAAGAGGGAGAGGACGAAGCATCACACAGCTCACATTAACACAGCTAAACCTATCAAATTGCTCAGACCCAAACTCCTGAATACTGAGTTTTAGGAGTGTTCAGACCTGTGACTAAGCTCTGGCAGCGTAACAAAATCCTAGGTCTGTTTACCATGCAGATTCTTCTCTTTCCACTCATATAAAAAAGCAGGAATATGACAGACACTTGTTTCAATAATTAAGATGACACCTCAGTCTCTTTGGGAACAAGACCTACACGAGGTCACAGCAAATCCTTTTCACTAGAAAATAGTATATATGAAGAATCAGCTCCACATGGAAACTCTTATGCAAATGCTCAAATCTCACCCACCTACCTCATCTGACCCAAGGGAGAGCCACTTGTGAGTCCCTCCCCATAATAAGTTGAAGAAAGGCGTCCATACGTTCAAGACTATTCAAACAAAAGCTTCAAAACCCTCAGGCGCATCACAGCAGGGTCCCAAGGCTCACTGTATGGTTTGTAAAGCACACATTCACAAAAGGACTTCAATGACATTAGAGGCTAAGAGGCCCTGAATGATGGGGCAGCTGAAATTGCTGAGGAACACACCTTTGCTCAGTCAAATGAACAGGAGGCGGGGAAGACCCACCCATGTCCAGCCCTGAGCAGAAGGCAAAATTTGCACTGACAAAAAAAAAGCAGGACAGCAGCAGGATACACTTCTTATACCCTGATGTCAGCAGTGTTTTCAGAAAGGATTTTCAGCTGCTTGAGGGGGATGTCCTCAACGCCAGCTAAGCAGTCCTCCCAAGCGTACAAGAACATCCACTCAAAACAAGCTGAAGAGACCTGGGTTACCCAAAAGATTTTGCCAAAATAAGGAACTTTGTAATGAACAGTTCATAGATAAATGGACAAAGTCTCCCTGAGATTTCTTCATTAATGCTTTTTCTAAGACCTTCTTTCCCTGAAGCCTCTTCTACTCACACAGATTTTTATTTTCTTTTTTAAATCCCTTATGAGCTCTCCTAGATCACTCTCTGCAGTTACCTTTAGCCTTTCAAGTTGTTTTCATTTCTTCAAAATATAGCCAGCCCTTCTCTTTTTCTGTTGCTACTTCTACATGCCCCAACACCCTATTTAATCAGTGTCTTAAAAATTATTCTACTAGTGGAAAAAAAAATTAGAGGAGAGGAGTAAAACTCAGAAATCACAGAAACTTCGTACACAAAAAATATTTAAAAGTCTTTGTCCAATAAAGTAAAAAAAAAAAGAAAAAAATGGAAACTGTTTTCTGAAAAACAGCATCCATTAAAAGATAAACTCATACTTTTCCTTGTTTTCCTCTCCCTAGAGAGGAACATCTACTCCAAGTAACCTGGGGGGCTGACTTGCCTGAAGCCGACAGAACCACCTGCTCTTTTCCCCGATAAAGTCACAGGTAAGGAAGAAAAGCAGAGATACTTTCAATTGTTTAAGCATTTGTTTCAGAAGCCCATAGTTTCAGGTTCAGGGGCTGTCTTGGTACCAACCCCAACCTCCACAAAAGCCATCAGAACTTGTCCTCTGAATATGAGAGTTCATCCCTTCTTTTTGCGTGTTACCTTGTCATACATCTAGAGAGTTCTGAAAGCAGAGCTTGTTCAGAGGACTGAGCAAACAGCAGGAACAGGAGCAAGAGAGTTCAGTGTGGTCCTTCCAGCTGCAAAGTTCCCACACTTTTACACAATGACACTTGTTTCTTGATGCCTTTTTCCAGATGTTGCCGCTATACTATTCCTAGAAACCTGGAAATTGCCAGAGATCCTAGCAGGCAAAAAAAGGTTCATCTGGGCAGGGAGAAAGATGCACTAACAACAGGGGCACAGACACGAACAAGATCAAAATCACCAAATCATCACTGTTTAGGCGCATAAAGTAAAAGCAAGAACGAACCACAACAAAAAAGAAAAGTGAGAAAGAAATGAAAATAAATCAAGTGAGGAACAGAACTGCAGGCTTACAGTGTCAATCTCCAGAGTAGCAAAATAGTTTGCAAGTCTGGAATAAAAAGAAAGAAAAAGCTACACTTTTTAAACCACGAAAGTAAAGGCAGTTATACACTGTTAACAAATCACTTCTAGTTTCTCTTAAAAAAAGAAGAAATAAATTGAGGCAATCTATTACCACAGACAGCATTTTATGCAATAAAATGAAGCAGAAATCTGTATTTTTTTAGTTTAGTCTGCCACTCTGATCAAAGTGCAGGGGGACTGGGGAGGAGAGGATTTGTTTTTCACAAATAGAGGCACTACTATTAGCAGTAAAATAACTGAGTATTAACACATTTCCATTTGAGGTTTCACTGGAGCGCTTTTTCCTGACAAAGCCACTATTATACTCAAGATAGTTTATAATACATTCATAACACCCAAGTTGTTCTTTCCCAGAAACAATGCTGCGAATGTGGAACTTTTCCTGTTCCTTGCAGTGACATTTTCTTGGCTTCTTCCTCTGGGAAAAATATTTAGGCAACAACTTCCCTTTAGTGCAATATATATAGACCCACTTGAGTTATTTGATAAAGTTCAGTGTGCTGTGCTGCATTTTCACTTTTCTAGTTCATGAAGGGCCTCAGACTCAACTCCCCAGTTGTTGCTGTTGAGCAAGCAGAGGGCACAGTCAGCCACCTCAGAATTTGTAAAGCTGTCATCCACCTGTTAGAGTTCATTTTGAAAACTCATCTTCCATTGAGTTGCTAACAACAGCCACCAACACCAGAAACAGGTAAGAGAGATGGAAATCACCTTCTTTCTGTAATGAGGTTGTCTTTTTTTGACTAACAGAGCACCGTCTCTTTCCAGAAAGACTCTAGAGCTTTCCAGTTCAACAAAGTTATCTTCTGCTCCATAGCATAAGACCTCATTTATGATTACTAATCAGGACTCGATCTGAACAAGATTCCATTGAACTTTTTCCAGATATTTCTTAGAGAGCAATGCAGCAAGTAAATCACAGCTTTCTGGAGATTAATCTATGTAATTTAAATCCTATATATTTAGCTATACTGCAATACAACAGGGCTTGTACTTTTGTAAAACTGCTATATTCAAACTAACATTTTAGCTTTAGATCCCCGCTTTATGACAAGAGATTTTTTTTCTTCCATGTCAACAGGAATACAATTGCAGACTAATATTACTAATTGCAAATTCCAGCAATTTTTGAACTGTTTTATATGGCATTTCTTTCTGTAATAATTCAAGTTCTCTAGAAAAAAAAGGATATAACAATTTTCTAAGAAACATCATTTTCTGATTTCACTAAGTGACCAATGAATGTCTGTTCCCTACCACAGCCATTTAAAATATTTTCAGTGTGCAAGCATGAAGACAGACAACATTTAGAAGACCGACAGGACACAGCTACTAAAACACCATTCCTAGACCTCTGAAGTAATTTGGCAAAAATCCAGCAAACTGATTAGTTTTGAACAGCAGCATTGTACAGATTAGTATCACCATCCACTAACCATCCAAAATCAGAGACTTCCCTTACCCCAAACGGTGGATATGAAGCAGCAGCAGCAGCGGAGGCAACGCTCACTGCGGGAGGTGGTATTCCTGAAGAAGAAGGTGGGAACAGACCCAAGGCATTCAGATTTAATCCAGGAATTAAATGTGCTTGAAGCTGCAAGGGCAGAAGAGTAAAGATTTACAATCCTGGTTATTAACTTTAATCAAAATCCTAGTTGGCATCGGCTATTAACCTTTTCAGAAGATGTCAATATGATATTTAAAAAAAAATTTTCATCTCCATTACTCCAAGGACTCTGCTCCAAACCTATTTCCCAGACATATGCACAGACCAATAACATTAGAAAAATATAGTAGGAAAGGCAGCTGGGAATCACTTGTTACAACTTAATCAGTGAAACTCATGCCAAACTTTATAGCAAGAAATGCAGGAAATAGTATAATTTACTTTCAGAGCACACAAAACTATCAGAGAAATAATATAGTTTTCTTTTGGCTTTATACTAAAAAGACAGCCCTGTAGAAACAGAGAAAGCCAATGCACAAGCCCTGACTTTTCACACACTGGGATTATACACCACACTATAACCCCATCCTCCCTTCCATGTCCTTTCCC